ATGATGGTATTAGGTAGAAAGAGGGGGGTGGGAGGGGCTTTGTTCTCTCCAGCTTTTTTATTAGAATTCAATTGTCTTTCAGCATCATGCCGCCGACCCTAGCGTTAGTCGGGCTGGGGTGGGGGGAGGGTGGGGGGGGGGGGGGTTCTCCTGTTCATCTGTGGGCTGAGCCGTGGAAGGTTCTGGTGCATGACATGGAAGGTTCTTCGGTGCATACTCTTCTCTCCGCTGTGTGGCTACTTGCGATGGCTGCAGCATCCGAGTCGACGCGTTTGACTCTGGTGGAGCTCCCTGTGGATGTGCTTGGTGCGGTGGCAGTGTACCTGCCGCCGGACGGCCTAGTGGCGCTGATGGGCACATGCGGGACGATCCGACGGGCACTGATGCACGACGCGCTGGTGTGGCGGGTGCGCTTTGATGTGGCTGACTACATGGCGTTTGCGCGCGGGCTGTGCGCCCCGCCGGGCACGGTGGTGGCGATCTCGTCATCGCGCGGCGGCTACGCCTCGGTGGGCCTGTTCGATTTGGCGTTGGTGGTCCCGGGCGCAAGCGACTGTGACTGTCTGAGTAGTAGCGATGCGAGCAGCATCAAGTGGGCCCGGGCGTCACACGCGGTGGCGGACGCACGAGAGATGATCGCCATGCTTGAAGCGAGCGGGGTGGCATCTGCGAGTGCGGCCCACGCTGTGGTCGCCTTTCACGACCATGTGCGTGGGGCGACTTATGTGACGCCAATGCCGGCCCATTTGGGCGCGCGCATGATTGCGGCAGCCGCCGCGGTGGGCATCTTTGTGCCCGGATCGATCTACGGTATTGCTGATGTGGATGGCGACGACGATCCGCTGCAGCTCGGCCTGGACACGCTAGGGGTGGTGCCTGGCGAGTCACTGGTGGCGGCCAGCCGCGGCCGGTACGGCTGCAGCTCGGCCGGCATAGGCTCTGCATCACAGACAACGCAGTTTAGGTGGCGATTTGTCCTCCTCGCCCTGATGGCGCAAGCCAAGACCGGGGCGCTGTCGGACTACCCGCAGCTTGCCGATGCCATCCTGCCGCCGATGGCGATGTTCTCGTCGACGCCGTCAGCGCGTGTGCAAGAGCAGCTTGACGATCTCATCAAGGCATCCAAGTTTGTCGACTTTGTGCAGAGCGGGAGAGAGTCCGATGGCGTCACCAGCAAGCCAATCTATGAGTTGTCCCCTCCACGGTGGCCAGCAGGAACCGATCTGGAGGTGCCCGTCTTTCGCGTCAGGGAGCTGATCGAGGGCATCGAGCCGTTCCTCCGGCACGTAGCAGACAATCTGGAGAAGTAATGAAGCGATTGGTGCGACCGAGGCTATTGGGTGCCCCCCCCCCTTTTCCAGCCCATGACATTAATCGTTGCGCCATCGATTAACCCCCCCCTCCCCTCCCCCCCCCCCCACCCCTCCCTCCCCCCTCTCCCTCTCTTTCGCCCTCACCCCTCCCCATGCTCCGCACCGTCACCGCCGCCATCACCACCGCCGCCCGGACTCCCCGGCGGCATGGGTCGACTGTCCCCCGGCGGCGCGGGCGGGTGAGCTACGGGGCCATCCCGCCGCCGCCGTCGCGGAGCTCGGGCTGGCTGGCCGCTGCGGCCGACGGAGCCGGTGATGTCGCGCTCCCACCGTACGCGCTGACGGGCGGAGCATCCCCGCCGATGGAGCCGCCGCTTGTCCTCGAGCCCGGATCAGACGAGGATGTGCGGGCGAGGCGGGCGGCGGCACTGGCGGCGCGGATCCTGGGCGAGGCACTGGCGGCGGTGGAGGACGGATCGGTGGCGACCAGCGCCGAGGTCGATGCTCTGGTTGTCGACGCCGCCGTCGCCGCCGGCGCCTATCCCTCGCCGCTCAACTACTCGGGCTTCCCGGCCGCTGTCTGCGTCTCGCCGAACGAGATCCTCTGCCACGGCATCCCGAACACCGCGCCCTTCCTCCCGGCCGACGTCGTCTCCATCGACGTCTCGGTCTACCTCGATGGCTTCCACGGCGACACTGCCGACGCCGCCATCGTCCCGGCGCCCGACGGTACGCCGACGCCGGCCTCATGCGCCGACCTGGTAGCTGCCGCCCGCGGCGCCCTTCACGCAGGCATTGCCGCCGCAGGCCCGGGCGTCCCGCTCGCCGCTATCGGCGCCGCTATCGCCGGCTACGTCGCCGCCAAGGGCCTCTCGGTCTCGCCGGACTTTTGCGGGCATGGCATCGGCAGGCACTTCCACACCCTGCCGTTTGTTGTCCACGACTTTAACTACGAGGAGCTGATTCTCGAGTCCGGCATGGTCTTCACCATCGAGCCTATCGTTGCCGAGGGCGACGCCTCGACCTTTGATCTGTGGGACGATGGGTGGACCGCCGTCACGCCCGACGGCTCGTGGTCGGCCCAGGCTGAGCATACCATCCTCATCACCGATTCGGGTGTCGACATCCTCACCGCTCGCCCATCGACGCAGCAAGCGCAATAAACCGCCCCCCCCCCCCCCCTCCCCTCACCCACCATATCAGATTCTACAAACGTGTTTCTTGGTCTCTTCTTGCTCCCCCTTTCCCGAGGATGCGGGATAGGGGGGGGAGGCATCGACTGCTTCTGCTGCGATCCCTCTCCGGCCGGCAGCGCGTCGCAAGACCGGGCTGCGGGCGGGAAGGGGAGACTTGGGGTGGCCGATGCACAGGATGATCGGCATGGTCTCACCCAGTGTGGCTCAGCGGCGGCGCAGGCGCGAGGGCGAGGACGGCGGCGGATAGCGGCCGCGTGCGGCGGTAGTCCGCGGGCCCCACAGGGCGGCCGAGGCCGGCGAGAGCATGACGTAGGCATCGGTGGGCGAGAGGATGCGGCGGCCAGAGCCGACAGCCCGAACAGGCACATGTCGCGACTGGCCGGCCACGGTGCCAAACCGAGCTCCGGGGCCCGGCGCGGGCGAGGCGGCGATGACGGTACCGGCGGCAGGCGGGACAGCGTCGTGTGCGGCGGCCAAATTTTCAAACTTTTGGTCGTTGGCCGAAGCCCCGGTCGCGGCGCGGCGCGGGGTGGTGGCGGGCTTGGCAGCCGGCTTGGCGGAGAGGGACTTGGCAGACATGGTTGATGACTTCTGCCCGTAGCCTGGGACGTTGTTGCAGATGCGGCCAAGCGGCTTGCGGGTCGAGGCAAACATGGTCTGTCGCTGGCGTGTGTTGTGCTGTGCGTGAGGTGCGCCTGCCGAAAGCCCTCCGCCGACTGCCGGCCGTCGGCGACACGACACGTCGACGGGCGAGCGGCGGCTGGCGGTGGCAGATTTCGGTGGAACCTGCGGCTCTCCGAGCGGGTGCGCGCGGGTGATCGAACTCGGCGCACCAGCGAGATGGCCCGCGGCATATAGAGTTTGTGCGACTCTGGCTTTACTCTGCTACCGTGTGTGCTTGTCTGGCACAACCACAAAGTATCGGTTGATGGCTCGACGGAACCGCTCCTTGTACTGGTGCGGCGAGATGACGGTCGGCCGCTTTCCGCCGCCGCCGAGGATGCCTGTCGACTTGACCCACGACTCGAGGTGCTTGTCCCATGTGTACTGCCGGATGTAGTCGATGATGCCGACGGTGAGCTCGCCGGTTGTGTAGTCGATGCCTAGTAGGAGTGAGTAGTCCATGACCTTGAGCGAGGCGAGGAGGAGCGAGTCGTTGCACACCGCAGAATACAGGTACACCTTGGAGTACTCGCGGACGTAGAGCGGTGACTGCCAGATGTACTCCAGAAAGTTCTCGTCCATCAGCACCTGGTCCGGCGCCTTGGACTTGACGTACCGTGACCGCTCCGAGCCCTTGAGATCAAACACCTTGTCGATGCTCTTGCCGTAGAACAGGTTCTCCATCAGCACCACGTACTTGCGGTATTTGACGCCAGACTCGCGCGACCGGATCTCCACCTTGTACAGCCCAAGGAACTTGACCAACAGCGATGGCACGTCGTCGTACAGCACACGCATCATGTACTCAAAGTATGACGGTGCAAACTCGAGGAACGCACCCATCTCTACCTTTTGCACCTCCTTCAGAATGAGCCGGTCGTCGAGCGTCTTGAGAAACTCAGAATCGGTCTTGCCGCCCGTCGCCGCCCACTTGACGCACCGCGCCAGCGACGCGAGCACGTTGTCTTGTCCGCCGCAGTACTTGGCACGCAGTGCGTGGAACGGCGCCGCGTAAAAGGCTTTGACCGAAAACTGGAACCCGCGCGAGCCAAACTCGAGCTCCGCCCGAAACGACGGTGCCGCCATCAGCAGCTCGCGATGTTCAGCCTCGCCCATCGCCCCACTCTCGATCCGCTCCGGATCAACCTCCACACCCACTTGCCGCATCTGGTCTGCATAGCCCTGCGACGCGAGTAGATATCCAATCAGCGACGTCGGCTCGTCGTCCACCACAGGGTACGGCGCGTATCGCCGCATCACCGGCTCGAGGCCAAAGTGCACGTGTTCCAGCTGCCACACCGCGAGCACCTCACTCTCGTCGCTTCCCGCCGCCAGTGCCACCCCACTCGCAAGTTCGCGGTAGACCGCGCTCACTTCGGCACGCGATGCCGCAGCCTCGGCCCGCGCCACAAGCTCCTGAGCATCCGGTCCATCTTCCATGTGCCCGGCATGCTCTGCTTCTTGCATCCGCGCCAGCAGCGACGCACGTTCTGCGTTGAGCAATGCATAGCTGGTGTGCGCCTCAAACTTGAGCTGGCGATTGGGCCCGGCCACGGACAGCAGCCGCAACGGCTCGTACTCGAACGATAGCACCAGTCCGCCACACGCAAAGAGCCGCACGTGGTCAGAGTGTACAGGATGCTCGCACCCGCCGCGGACCGCCACAGGCACCGGGTAGAACGTCGCCTCCAGGTACTTGCCAAATGAGAGCATCCACGTCGCCCCACTCACAGGCCGCACCGCCGTCACCTCCTCGCACACCTGGCACGCCGACCACATGACCAGCTCGTCGTCGCCCACCCCAGGCAGCGGCTCCTCCAGCCGCGCCACCCGCACATGCACCGCGCCGCCGGCATGCGCGTACGTACACACATGCGCCAGCATGTCTCGCTGGCAGTTGACTTGCCGGCACGTGTTGCTCAGGTCAAAACACACCTCCACGTACTGCCCGAGCGTCATGTCCGAGCCTTGGTAGAACTCCAGGACCTGCGCGTGCGGGATGCAGCACGGCTCCGGCTTGTACATCGACGCCGTCGTGAACAGGACCCGCAGGTCCTGGTACTCAAACGCAGACGCCACGCATAGATTACCCTCATCATTCTCGCCCTCGCCGGTCCGCGAGCTCCGCCGCGACGCCTGCGGGGAAGGCACTAGGTCCGACGTCAGTCGCAGCACCTCGACCTCGGCCCCGCGCTGTGAGCCCGAATTGAGGTTGTGGGTTGAGAGCGTCCGCGATGCGAGCGAGATCTCGCCGTTCGCCCCGTCAGACCCCAGTCCGACACCCGCGGCGCCAACCGCGGCCGCGACTGCCGCCGCCGCCACCGCCTGCCCACCATTCTCCACCTCCCGCCCGCCATCGACCGGTGAAATGTGCGCAGCCTCTGGATACTCGTCAGTGTACCGCGGATTAAGGTATACACCAGGCGTGAGCGAGAGGTGCCGCCGCGCAAACGAGCGGCTGTATGCCACCGCGTTTGGCCCGAGCTCAGCGTAGCCGGCGGCTCGCCGCCCACAGTCCACCCACTCGGTCCATTCGCGAGAGAAAGGGCGCCCGCTCAGCTGTGCTCGCTCCGCCAGCCACAGGCCGTACGATTCTGCGTACACCGCGCCCTCATCGGCCAGCAGCGATGCCTCCAGCAGCGCGTGCATCGATGAAAAGACCGAGAGCTGGACAAGCGCGTCGAGAACAGCCTCGAAGCTGCTGGGCCCGATGCGCGGCAGCCAACCTGGTGGCGCTCTCCCGCGCAGCAAGAGTGTGACTCCTAGCGATGGCGGTGTCCCGTCAAACACCAGCATGTGCTTCCGTCCGCCGCCCGGCGTGCTCAGCACCTCGGACCGGAACCGCACGCACGAGCCGAGCACTCCCGGGTTGGCGCGGATGGCGTCGACAGAGGTGAGGACCGTGGCTCCGGTCTGACGTGCAAGCCGGACGCAGAGATGCAGGCCAGCCGATGGGATAAGCGTGACGCCGGCCTTGAGCAAAAAGTCGAGCGCCAGTCGCGACACACTCCCCGCCACCACGACCACCTGCGGGTTGACGTCCATGATTTTGGCCACCTGCAGCCGCAGAAACTCGCGCTCCTGCACAAGCAGCGTGTCAAAGTTGGTCAGCATCGACGAGGCACCTTGCCGCTCGTGCTCAAGCGAGCCAGCGAGCAGCAGAATCCGCGGGTGGCCAATCGACGTTGCCATCTTCTTATGCGCCACGCGCTTAAAGGTGACCGAGCCGAGAATGACTCGTGACTCGCGGACCTCACCGCCCGCCACATACTCCTGGTGGATGTACGCTCGGACGTCGAGCTCGTCGCCAGGCATAGCCGACGGAGCCACGTGCGCCGCAGCCTCCCGCCCAAGCTCCGCCAGCGGTTTCTCCCACAGCGCCGGCAGCCTCTCCACCGCCAGCGCCTCTTGGAGAACGAGGCCGCTGTATGCATCGTACGTGTGAGTAAGCTCCTCGAGCACCTGAGCGCGAGCGCAAGCGTGCTGAGGTGCCCTTGCATCATCGACTTGCTCCGGACGTGGAAGCGCCGTGAGCGACGCAGACCGCATCATGCTCGCCGTCTCAACTCCGAGCGACGGCACGTCATCTCGACTAGACAACAACACTGACGAGTCCGAGTCCGAGCCCGAGTCCGAGCCCGAGTTCGCCAACTTTGTCGCCGGCTTGTGTTTGTGCCGGTTAAAGCCGAGTGCGGCAAAGTCGCGGCCGGAAAAGGTGTGCATGGCACCGGCCCGGAAGCTGGAGCGCTTGGACGAGCTCTGGCTTGCGCCGCCCATGTCGGCATCGGCCGCAGTTGTCGAGTTCCACACCTCGTCGAGATCGTTAATGTCTTCGGCGAGCGCTGCTGACGCGAGGTCCATTGCGGAGATAAGATCCATGTTAGAGACGTTGAGTGCGGTTGCCAGCCGGCGCGCAGTCGCGGATGAGGCCTCATTGCGGTCGATGACAGTCTCGTCGCCGTCGGCCTCGCCGTCGTCTGACTCCTCGCCCTCGCAGTGGCGGCTAGACCCAGATGAGTCCGACGAGACATGGTTCACGCTCGAAGGGCCTTCAAAGTTGAGTGAGGCCCGGATGCGAGCCTGTTTCCTGCGCAGGGAGGAGGTAGGCGAGCAGCCAGTCTCCGAATCGGTCTCGGACTCCGAGACCGGTTCAATGTCGGAGACCTGCGGGGAGTCGACGCCGCCGGCGCGAGGCTTGGCAGAAGCCCTACCCACACGATGGGCGTCGGCTTTCTCGGTCTCGTTGTCAACGCTCCTGGGATGGACCGAATGGATACGGGCGTGTTTCCGCGACGACGACATGGGCGAGAGCATGCCGATGATGCGTGTCTGCGACTCGGTCCGCATGCCGCGGGAACGCTGCTGGGCGGCAATCGAGCGAATGCGGCGGGAGCCTGCGCCATCAGCGGCGGCAGCCAGCGCCGACTCGAGCGCACGCAGTGGGCCAGCAACCAGCGCGCCGCCCGACTCGCGGCGGGTGCCTGCCGGAATGTGGAACGAGACCGCCGAGCCGCCACCGGCTTGCGGCTGCATCGGCTCGAGCACGCCCGAAGATGCGCGGGCCAGCCGACGTGAGGTGGCTGCCTCTGCGCTGGCTCCGACTCCGGCGGCTGGGTCGCCATCTGACTCGCGGCCGTCTCCAGCAGGCACCAGGTCACGCGCGTCGCTGTCAGCACAACTGCGGTCATTGTCAGCGTCAGGCGTGCGAGCAATGAGCCTCGACGCCGCGCGAGCCTCCAGAAACGAGTCGTGACACGGCTTGCACGTCCGCTGCAAATCAACGCGGCCAAAGAGGGCGCCATCGAGGCGGTACTGCGAGCACGATGCGCAAAAGACGAGTCCACAGAGACGGCAATGATGCCTCCGACGGATAAAGTTGAAAAGAGCAGCGCACTCTGCACATGCCGGCGCCGCCGCGTCAGGAATCCAGAACTCCTTGGAGAGAATACGAACGCCATCGCCCGAGATTGCCGGCGGCGGAAGAGCCGAGCCCGGCCCATTGTCGTCCACGTCGCCATTGCTGAGACTACCGACTGCCGTCTGATAGCCATTGACGCTGATGCGCGAGCCATGTGAGGAGAGCAAAGCGGTAGTCTCGGACGCACCGTCTCCTCTGCCGCGAGATCCATTACTCGCAGGCACCGTCATCAGCAGATTGCCACCGCCACCCGCGCCATGTGTCCCTTGCTCCTGGCTGGCCGCCAGCAAGAGGTACTGCTCCTCGCTCTGGCCACACCACTTGCTCCCGGCCACAAGGAGGACGACCGCGAGAATGCTCACCACAAGCAGCGCAACCGCTATCCACGCCAGCGCATGCATGGCCTGCCCGTGTCAGGAGAGGTGACCGTGCGAGAGGTGTGCTATGCCTACCTGTCGGCCGCCTGCTCCCCTGCCGCCACCGCCGGAGGGAGGCGCCGCTGGTGCTGACACGTGCCGATTCGTCTGCCCTGCGCCGGGCAACCCAGCTTGTGCGATCAATGGGGGGGAGGGGGGATGTGGGGATGGCCGGGAGGAGGCGATGCGCGCGCGCCGCACGTGCCAGTGATCGTGCCTGGGCGGGGGGGGGGGGGGGGGGGGGGTCGATCGGTGGCCATGGGGCGCGTAGAGCGCGATGGGGTTTGGTAGGGGCATATTTGAAATTTGAGTAACTCCCCAGCGCAGCATGCATATCCATGCTGGTCCGACGATGGCCGTGTATGGCAAAGTGTGACATGGATGGTTGCATGCCATGCCGATGGATCAGTAGCGCGTCGATGAAGATATCGATTGGTCACCAGACTCATCATCACCTCGCTTGGCATTGTCAAAACAGCAGCCGATGACTCCCTCCCCATTCCCGCCCAACCAACCCTTTGGCCATCCCCTCCAATCCCCCCATCACCTTCTCTACCTCGAAGCGATTGCTGGTGAGGCATGAAC